CTTTTGCTGGTTTGACTGATTTTAAATTCGCTACCTCATATTTAAAATATTGTAGTACCTCTACTACAGTAAATTGTATAAGTGTCACAAACCGTAAAGTAATACCACATGTCCAGAAGCCAAGAATTTTTTATTTAAAGAACAATACATACTTAGAGGAACCACTATAAATACATTTCTATATAAGTACCAAACGTATTGTCTCTCTTCTCATATCTCCCAGTTCCTCTAATGTTGGTATGTTCTTACATGTCACAGTAAAATAGTAGTAACTGTATTATTTTAGGTGGGGTTTTCCTGGGTAACCTTTGCAGTCAAATGCCATGCATGAAACACAAAGTTACCTGAAGTCAGTGTGAGAATTGTTCCAGTTTGATGCTCTCACTTCCTTCCCTTTGCTACATCACATTTATTATCCTTTCAGGAAATGATTGACGAGGCAGACCGAGACGGGGACGGTGAGGTCAACGAGCAGGAGTTCCTGCGGATAATGAAGAAGACCAATCTTTATTAAACCTCAGTGTCTTAGAACCTTTGTATTGTAACTTTTTTTGGAACATTAGTTTTGTTTGTATGGAAATATTTTAATATGTTGTATCTTTGCACACGCTTTTATAAAATTGCAAAACCAATAAATCTATTTCATCAGAGATGATTTGTCTGTTACATTGTCATTATGAAAGCCTTTATTTAAACATAAGACTCATTGAGTTGTCTTTTTCTACAAAAACATAGAGTTTGGCTGGTAATACAAAAATATGAATTATACAAATCATGTGCAAGTGTGATTTAGGATACACCTAGTACAGGTTAAAGAATCAGAATATTGTGAAAAAGGGTTGTTTTTTTGTGGTAATTGTGTTCTAAAAGATGAACATAATTTTATTATGTGTAGGTGAAATACACTAAGCAGTTAACTGGGACTTCTTTACATTGAGTTCCTGCATCAGTGCAGTGAGGCATGGAGGCAACCAATCCAAGCTGCTTTGATAAAGGCCTTGTGCTCTTCTCATTTTTGGATCAGGCATTTATCTATCCAAATGGAATGGATAACACAGGTTTACTGGCCAATCAGATACAATACTAACATGGTCAGCAACCATTTGCTAGTAATTGTGGCCTTGTGGGCAGGTCCTACTACAAAAGGAAGTCTGTGTTCCCTTAAAGCTAATTGGGAAATGGAAGCATCTTTAAAATCTCCTGGAAGATTTAAGACCTGGTAAATGGTAAAATGGTAAATGGCCTGTATTTGCATAGCGCTTTACTTAGTCTCTAAGGACCCCAAAGCGCTTTACACGTTCAGTAATCCACCCATTCACACACACATTCACATACTGGTGATGGCAGCTACATTGTAGCCACAGCCACCCTGCGCACTGACAGAGGCGAGGCTGCCGGACACTGGCGCCACCGGGCCCTCTGACCACCACCAATAGGCAACGACAATGTGGTTTCTGTCCCTCTCCAGTCATCTTTGACACTCTGGCTTCCAAATGCAAAAATTGATGTGAAATGGGGACTTTGGACCACTGAGCAACAGCCCAGTTCTCTCTCTCCTCAGCACAGGTATTACAGTTCTGCTGCTGGTTCAGGAGTGGCTGTGATATCAGGACTGCAGCCCCTTTGCTCAAAATATTTGTGCATCGTGGCTGTTGATGTACTGCCACCAGCTTCAGTCCGCTCCTTGCGAAGCGCTTCCAAGTTTTTATCCCTTGGAGGGTCTTAAGGACATTTATTGTCCTTAGGCCTAAAGGTGGATGTCTTTTTAAGGACCCTCCAAGGGTTAATCAGCGTTTAATAACAGTCCTGCAAAGACTGCAGGCATTCTTGTTGTTTGTGCACTTTTTATTACCACACTTTTCCATTCCAGCCAACTTTCCATTAATGTGTTTCAACAGCACTCTGCAAACTGCAATGGCATTTTCTTGCTTACCGTCTTTGTGGAAGGTGATGATGACAACTGGACAAATGCCAAATTAGCAATCTTCCACATAGTTTTGCATGTACTGAATTTGATTTGTAGAAATTTACTCAAACGTTTTTTTGAGCAACATGTCATGTCTGTCAATATTACAACAGAAAAAGAGTCTAGAGTCTAAAATATGTAAAGATTTTTTAACTTCCATTAATATCTGATGGAAAATATTGAGCTTTTTCGCAGTTTTCTAATTTTTTGAGGTGCATGTACAATGCATCTCCTGGTTATAGTTATGTTTTCAGACTCAAGGCTGCTAATCTGCAGAAATAGAAGAGCGATGGTTTTGAAAATCTCACTGAAGGTGATTTCGATACAGTGCAGTAATAAGCTGCAGTGCATCCTGCAAAGCACAACATGCCAATAATGTTTCAGACAGTGAAAGTCATATGACTAAGTTGATGTTGACTAACCTGAATTATTTTACTGTAGACAGAAATGACAAGCGTGAACTTGAGATGAGTAACTCAGTAAAAGTCACTCTCACTTCTTGCTTCGAGTTACAGAATAAAGTTAATTTGTAGAAAACATGCAGCAGAGTGCTGTCCTGCCTACAGATTTGATCATCTTATAGGAAAGATTCTCCCCCTGATTAATTGTCATATACGGCGGAAGTCTGGTTTTGGCCAAAACACCGAACCTTGTTAAAATAAACAGGATACTGTAGTGACGTATTTTTCCGAACCATCAGACGGCTGTGTATTATTTTGAGGATGCTTGCCAGTGATTGTGAAAGTTGTGATAACCTGTTCTAGACGGCGAAGGAACATCGGGGTGGAAAATATGAAAAGGTTTCTCCCAAGATGAGATATCCATTTTTTGAAAAATATTCCACGCAATAAGAGTTTTCAATGCACAAAAAGCGAAAACACATACGAAGAAATTTTGACAGCTACGTTCTGAAGATTTAAACAGTTATTAACATTAACCTCCTAGGACCTGGCGTCCACATATGTGGACATCACATATATGGACCAAAATACTCAATTTTGCCCTACATAGCCTGATATCCACTTACGAGGACATTATACTGCTACTGTTCTATCAAAATTTTAAACGAGTATCCTCATACGTGGCTCTCATTCTTCTTAAAAACAAAAATACGGTAAAAAAAAAATCTGGTAATTCTTTGTTTTTACATTCATCAGGCCCCAATATGCCCAAATGTCAAAGAGAAATTAAAAATGTATACTGTGGAAGAGTTCGGGTCTTAGGAGGTTAAGATGCATGTTAAAAAAGAACTTCTATTGAGATACATTTACAAGCAAGTCCGATGTTTAACAGAGATATTTTTATATTTGTTTTGGAGCAGCTTAAAATGCCAGAATATGGGATTTTTTTATGGATTTCTTTCATTTTGTTTAGGTCTTGATGTGAAACTTGGAATTGATACAGATGAGCCAAATCAAAAGGCCAGTATTTCAAAGGCTCATTATATGTAACCCTCTCTGACTCAAATCCATCCACCTTCTTGGAGTTCAAAGCACACCACACACCAGGTGAGAGCTGAAAACAGTACCAGAACTTGCTTTGTGTTTACACAAACAGTAGAAGACTGCTCTTTGGTTCCATGATTAGTGGACTGGCATTCACATGTTTTCTAGTCTTAATGACGATTTAAAGCAATTGAAAGTAAAAACAGCACTTAACCATACATACATACAGCGCTTCATCTGCCTAACACCTACACATGATTTAGGGTCACCAGTTACCCTAGCACGCATGTTTTTGGACTTGGGGATAAAATCTGTGCATTCACAAACTCCAGACAGAAAGGCCCAAGACAACAAGGAGATTGAGACCAGGAATCCTTAAAGGCTACAGAGTACCTTCCTCTTTATACAATGCAATAACATTAAGAGTTTAGAAAGCTTTACAAAGACAGACTTTACAATGGCTGTCAAGTCAATTCAGTTTTAATTTTAAAGCGTCAAATCACAAGAACAGTGATTTGATTTCAAAGAGCTTTCAATTGTAAGGCAAAGACCCTACAATAATATAGAGAAACTCCACCAATCACATGACTCCCAAGGAAAAACTCCCTTTTAACAGGAAGAAGCCTCGGGCAGAACCAGGCTCAGGGAGGGGCAGCCATGACCAGTTGGGGTGAGAGAAGGAAGAGATGACAAAAGACTTGAAATTAAATTTATCTGTTTAGTTGTGGAGTAGCTATGAAATCTGTGCAAATGAAGACTTGACCACCTGAAAAACAACATGAGCTGTCTTTACTCCAGCAGACAACGTCTATTCTCCCTCCTTGAAGAATATAATAATTTGAAAGCTGTTTTTCAGGAAAAGAAAGGAAAAACGGATATCCAAAAGGATAACGTGGCCTCAAACACCCTCGTCTTGCTTTGTTTGCTCAACAGTTTTATTAGGAAACTACAAGTGAACACCAAACGTCATTCTGGGGGCACGTCTCGTCACCTGGTAGCCATTTTCATACGTGTCCAGGCACAAGTATCGACATTTAGGCTGCTGTTTTGAAGCATTCTCTAAATGTATATGGGAGGTGGGGTGTCTACTTTTATAAAAACCGTATACTGCTCTCCGCCAGCATAAAAGGTTTTTGTGTCATATTTAGAGTTGAGTTTAAAGGTTATTTTAAATTTCTTCCAGCAGTTAGACTCATCACTTTAATAACGGCATAAAAGAAAGAGGGTACTTTACCTGCAGGGAGCAACCTAGTTTGGAAGTGTAGGTGTTCAGACAGTGGATGTTTGATTTTAGAACAAAACTTTCCAATTGGAGTTTGATGTTTTGCAACAGTGTCAGTTTCAAGGCCTTAATATCTTCACGGCCCCTCAGCTGAGTGTTATTCCCCTACTGTTGTGGTTAAACAGTATTCACAGCTCATGGCCTGTTCTGTACTCCCACTGCTCCGCTTGTTGTTTTTCTCTTCCCTTCAAATGATCAATTTCCAAAACAGCTAAACCTTTTAAGTCTGGTCGTTGCTGGTAAAAGTCAATCGCATTAACTCTTAAAGGTCAAGAATGTGTCACCATTATGTAGGAAAGCTGTCTCGCAAGCCCCCTTTGAGTAAGATAAACTCAAGACAAAGTAATAACTGTCATTGTGCTTAGAAGAACTGACGGGTGACTGCAGCAGTGGTATGTTGGCTTTTTAAAGCTTCAGCTATTTATCTAAAGATATGTTTAGTTTTTGCAATATTAGACATTCTATTATTTACAATCTACTGCTATGGTGATGTGGTATTAGTTATAAAATTACCCTTAAAAAGAGCAATGTCAGTTTTCAGTTAATCAGTATTTTGTACAGTGGAGACACATTGTAGTTCTTGTATTATTTAAGGTACTATTTAGTCCTATTTGTATTTAGTCAAGTACAGTTAAGAAGAAAACTTGCATAGAAATCAATGTAAAGGCTATGATGACCTTCAAGATGTTGCAACAGAGAAAACCTATAGTTCAGATCTTAAGATTGCACACCTGACTCCCACACATGCCCTGCATTTTAATGCTCGGGGTTTGTGTGGAGATGCGTTGCCACCCCTTAACCACTTACCTTTGAACATATGAGTAGGTCAGGTGTGTTCTACTGTAGAAGAGAAAACCTTGGTTGACAAATGGCACGCACAAGCAGGTTTGGTAAACGGCATTGTCTTGCATCCCCACTGTGCCAGCAGCAAAGAACATGGTTTCAGAATTTAGTTCTAGTTCTTTGGTTAAATACTGCTTCTTTCCACAAAATAACAAAAAAATAGGTCACGTTGGCTCCTTTTCATTAGTTTTCCTATATGTCTTTTGTCAGATCAGTCACGGTGACCCGATTTATGCAGGTTTGTGAAAACAAAACATTTTTAATAACCCACTTTCCATCCTTTTCTGAGTAAATGACTGTGCAGAATTGTTTATTTTCATAAAATAATAAGCAGGGTTGGGCCAACCATTGGGATGACTTTGCAAAGTGTGAAAATTGCAGATTTCACACAGAAAACATTAATATTTTTATTTTTTTTAATTAAAAAATTGGTACACGGGAGTGGAAATGCAAGGAAAATATTTCTAAAGTTGAACTGTTTGAATCATAAAGATGTCAAATACTTTAGTTCTAAAATGCTCGATGAACATGTGAATATTTTGTGTCTCCAACGATGCTGTCACAATTTTTAGCATTTAATGTGCACTTTCAGCTTGTTTATACCTGTTTATTGTGTGTTCTTAACTAGTATTTACCATCAGGCAAGTTATTCCTAGGCTATTTCAAGCTGATAAAGTGTGGGAACCTACTTTGCAGCTGCTGACCAAACTCCTACAACATTAGCCGGCTATGCGTAAGAGACTCTCTTTATGTGTAGGCCAAAGAAACCAAAGTTAAACTCTTCATTCTGGTTTTGATAACAGAAACTGCTGTCACAAGATAATTAAAAAACAGCTCGTTATGCAGTTTTTTATTTTAAAGCTTTTATGAGATTATCAAATAAGTCACTGTAATGAGCACTTTTTGTGCGATCTGGTCACACTCAGAAGGAAAAAAGAAAAATAGTTTAGCTTTCCTGTCTACTGGAATCAATATATGAAATTCCTCACATTTTATACGAGAAAACTTCCAATCAACTTTGTGGGTTACCATACTGAACTCTAATGCGCTGCAGGCTAATTTCATCAGCATCTTGCCGATGGTAAATTCCGGCTTGCTGATTTCCCACTGGCCTTGTAAGCTTGTTTCGTTATGCTTCATTTATCAAACTTCATCTGTGATTGCTTATTTACCCGATGACAGTGTCAACAGGAGCCGAAATCTACATTTTGATATTACAAATAGCAGCTGGTATCATCTTTGAATGCACTAATGATGACTCTGAACAATAAACAATATAAACAAGCCTTGTAAACAAGCTGTGTCATCCCTTTTGTCATAGCAATGAACAAGACCAGAAGAGGCAATCCCCCACCCACGGCAGCTTTGTATCTTCCTGTACACTTACGGTAATGAGCATGCTCACATTTCATAATCATTGATAATCTCCTTCATTTGTCCTTGCATCTAAAACAAAAAAAGTCATCATGTTTCTCTCAGTCAGCATTTTAATTAAAATACATACACACTTACTTAAAAAATGCCAAGATGCGTGTGTTTCATGCAAACTTTCAACCTCGCGCCTACTCTCTCCGCACCACGGCAATGCAAACTGTTCACAAAGGGGAGACCACAGTGTAGGAAATCATACTACTGCAAGTGGGAGTAGGAAGTCAACTACATTATCAAGAAGAAGTAAATAAATCTGCCTCACCGTGTCAAATGCTTGAAGTGCAAACACATGGTGAATTCATGAAGATCCTTTTAACTTTCATTTAAACCCCCCTAAGAGACAAAGAACACATCTTACATTTTGTTTTTAGGCCATGCCACCCATACTGAAACCATAATTAGATGAATTCACATTAGAAGAGCACGTATTAGACACGTATTTTATTTATTGTATGCATAAGAAGAGGTACACGTGCAATAAACAAAAACAAAACAAAGCTGTCATTTACGGTTTGAGCAAGCAATATCAAGTCAAAACAAAAACAAATTATGATACTGATGAGCAACAACTGTGGCCTAGCTACGTAATAATGAAATACAGTAGCAGAAAAATAGACAAATCATTTGTTGACAAAAAAAAATCAAACATTTACTTTTGATTGACATCTGGTTTTAGGTCACCTCACACTGATAACTCGTGGCAAAAATGGTATTTAGAAAAATGAACGGGGGTCTACTCTTAACCAACTTCAATAAACTGTAAAAGAAAAAAATACAACAAATGTTATTTATTCTTTATTTTCAGTGTAAAGTAAGAAAAAGGCACATAAGCATAACTTGTACACACATCTAATGCATTGCAGATACAACTGTTAAATCAGTCTCCTAATATGATGTCATCTAAGTAACACAGATTAAAATATTTATTCATTCTGTGACATCTCAAGTTCTCAATGTCAGTTTACACTAAAGTGACGTTAATCCAACTTACCTATCGATACCAAGACATTCTAACTATTGTTATATTAATAACAATAAACTAATGTAATTTTAAGAGTTTTGTATCCATTAGTGAGATGTGATTACTGCACCAAGGTAAATACGTATGCTGCTCTGTATGCTCTTGTTGACATTCGGCTACGTCGTTGAAGACAAAGCGCGACTTGAAACAAGCCGCACTTTTTTGTCACTGTGTTTAACACTCTGGCTGACCACAAAGAACATTTCTCAGTGTGGCATGTCACGTCTGACCAAGACTGTTAGTCATCATTGAAAAAACATGTGTCAGTAGAGCATTGTTTTGCAAAGTTCCCTGGAAAAAGCTTGAGATGTTAGTTCTAGATATCTGACGATAACATTTCACTTTCAACTAAGCCACTACGTTTAAGAGAAGTTTTAATTGATGGCCTTTTTTCATAGTCGCATAGATCAATTAATGTTAGTTTTATGTCAGTTTGAATGAGTAACTACAGTACAACTAATCCAACTAACTCTTGTGATGCTTTAAATTTAAGTGCAGTGCCTCTGCTGTATTGGTGAGGTGCCTCAGAAGACAAAGTAGAATTTCAAAGTTTCCCTCACACATACAATTTTGTGAGAATCTGGTCAGATTGAAAGCTAGATGTCTATTGTTATGCATCAACTTTTGCCAATTGCTTGCTCATAGTGTGTTGTCTTAATGTTGGTTTTTTTCCCCCTGTATTACTGTGGCGTCCTTATCTTACAATATAAAGTTGCTATTGTGACTTGGTGCTATATAAATAAAATTACATTTAATCGATGACCATTAATTAGCTGTAAATTCCCCAGACTATTCCCTACGCTACTCTTTTATTGGTTCAAGTGGGCATAACAAGTACGTTGTACCAGGAAACAAGTTGTCTTAATTTCATTATCAACCGATACACAAATGCCAATATTTTTGTCATCCAAGGTTTTGTGGTGTACTTGTAGTGTGAGATCAAATGGCCATGTAGGTAATAGATGCATGTGGGAACCAAAAAAAGGAACAATAATTTGAAACCACTGGCTGTAGTCTGACTAGTTTTCTATTAGCTTTTAACCAGTATGCAGAAAGGAAGTGTTGAACAGGATATCTGTTGCGTGGATATCCTGGTTAAACTGAAAAAACTGGCTTCTAGCCCAGCAGACTTAACTGCCAGAATAACCGTTTAAAGTGAGCTTGCAGGGGGATAGTCAGTCTCAAACTGGGGCCTTCATTTTTGTTAGACGACATCACCACATTTACCATTTTACATGCATTAGATACAAAAATAATAGAATTGCACTGGGTAATTTCTTCTGTTCGTCTTTAATTTACTCATATTTGTAATGAATAATATGTAACAGCTTTTTTCTCCCTGACTGTCCGTTTAATCAGAATGACTAAACACAACTTTTAATTTTTAGAGGTATTTTTTTAAGATTGTTTCTGATTGGAATTGAAAACTGGTGAATCAATTAATACGTATGACATTGATCCAGATAAAGTATTAATGTAAAAATGTAAAGTAAAAATGAGGTAGATTTTCACTTCTTGAGAGGATTTTCCTATTACTGGTTTATTAATTAATCATTAATAAACATTTTGGAGTTTTTTTTTACAACTTAAATAAGCTATTTGACAAAAAAAATGGGGAAAATGATGCACAAAGACCGTTGTTGGACCTGCAACTGGAAAAAGAAGCTAAGAGCTATGAAATGTAAATGATACATCCTTATGCTTATGTAACACCTTGAACAATCTTGCACCTTTATTTCCACTGCATTTCTTTAATGATAAGGGCATTGTCCCTTATCTCCTCCACTAATCTCTATAATGGGGGAGGAAAGGTTTTATGAATTCCTCATGTCAACAACGCTGCTTTGTAAGACTTTTAGACGTAAAAGCACAAACCAGCACACCACAGGTGGGTTAGGAGGGATTCTCTGGTGGTGGCCAGACGAGGAAATTCTTTTGAATTTTGAATCTACCTGAGGACACTTTTTCCTTTCTGTGTGCGCATTACAGAAGGTACTCCTGATAAGACGCTGAGGGTGATGCACCTCTTAGACCAGTCGGAGCCCCCACCCACCTGTTCCCTTACGCTGACGAAGAGAGAAAACAGACGAGAGGGGTTTTCTCTTTCACTCTCACTTCCTCTCTTCTGGTTGCCGTAGATTGTTGTAAAGATTGTGTGTATGGAGAGAACTTGTGCACTACCACTGACGGGGCAGAAAGACTGAGGTAGCATGAACATGGACATACTGACTAACCTATGATACAATCTGAAATTCCAAAATGTGTAAGTTGTGAAGTGGAGTAGATGACCATCATTAAATATTCAGTGATATTTCCATAAAAGGTTTCCTATGGCTAAAATATAACTGTGATTAAAGATTGTTGTTGTTGTTTATTATTATTATTATTATGACAACCAATCTATTGTAATAAAAATTGAGCTCATCGACTATATGTCTTTGTCTTTTAAACACAATGACCTCAGAAGCAGATTTTAGTCATTATCTTTTAAAACTGCCCAATGAAAAGTCCCATTTCAGTGAAAGCATAAAGGAGACTTTATGTACATTTGGCATTGACATTCAATTGAACTCACAGACAATGAGATATAATATGGGATATAATTCAGATTGTCAAAATTTCACATCTCCTCATCCTTTCTCATTAAAAACAGTGTGTCAGGAGTCAAAAAAGGAAAACTCTTTCTCTTGACCAAATTATTAAAGAAAGTTAAAAATATGAAGGAGAATTCATGAGGACAGTGCCATGAAAATCCAATAGCATGGGTGCTTAATTATGCAATATTAATAGAAAGTTGCATGTTGTTTCATGCAGCCAATATGGTGACAATGTTACTTTAATACCAAGTTTGTGACTGTGATGGACAAAACAATGTGGTCAAAGTGGCAACAGAGCATGAAATGATACAGAGCCAAAGGTGTGTAAAGCTTTTATTTTTTAAACTGCATCCCAGTGATGATGATTGACATGTCTAACATCATGTCAGCACAACACAAACACAACCATACAAACAATGCAATCAATGATCATTCCTGACAAACAGTCAACAGTCAAGTCAAGCAAAGCTGAGCATGGGCTTTATCGATCTTTCTGAAGTAGAAGGTTATACAGACCTATGCAACTTCTACAAATAAAAGTGAGAAATATGACTGCTGTTTTCTCTCACTGTGGTGAACCAATGCATCAGATGACTGACATAATGTGTTTGACATAAGCAAAACATACAAAAATTCCCAATATACAGAAGTGCTTTTGTGCCAGTGCGAGTTAAACTACAGACAATAAACCTGAAAGTGAAAGAAAATAGTAATTTTAACCCTTAATTCAGCATTCATAAACATCTTGTTTAAGTTAACCAGAATCGAGTGTTTATTCAATCACTTTTACAAGCTATTCAGTTTTTACACATGTGACAATAAAAAACTAAATATAAGTAATATGTGGTGTTGCTTATCCTTGGAGAATCTTCATTTTTTATTGCAATTTTCTTACATATTAATTTGAACTAACAAAAACACAAAAGAAAAGACAGGCAATCCAATAGCAATTACCTATACTCCTCATAGCTGTTGTAATATTTTTTTTTTATATATGCATTTTACTATATATACACATATGGATAAAACTGAACTGTTGATCTGTTGCTCACCAAAAGTGGCAGCAACTAAGCTGTTGAGTTATTTGAAGAAAGAACAGACACAATCTTTTCAACCAGTTTTGGATGTGCCTTGAGAGTTACTGATAATAATGAACACCTAGGAACGACCAGATGCCTAACCGCCTCACCTACAAAAATAGTTGATTATCAAATAATTACAATGTAATTACAACATAATGACAACATTTCTTTAGAAAACCTCTTTTTTCCCCCCTGCAGACCATCATTAATCTGTGAGTCTGTAACAGCATGTGTCATCCTTTTGAAATGACGTGACGCTGTCAGCCCGCTCCATAATGACACATGCAACTGTTTCAAGGCATTTCATAAGCAGACCCTCTTAAGCCGCTGTACGTTTCCTTGATCTTGCAAGTGGACAAAGAAATGTGTAAGAGACAAAAGAGTGAAACAGCAGCATAAAGAACTACTCAGCAAATGTTACTCCAATATTAGCTTACTTCCTTATGCACTATGAAAATACAACATATATACACATACACACACACACACACACAGATGTTTTTTTGGGTTTTTTTTCATGTCTCTTTGGTAAAACATTAACTCTTACAAAGGGTTTCCTGTTGTTGCCGAAGATATTTGTCCGTGTAGGTGGCCACAATGCAGTGAATGCATTCAGGTTGTCAATACCACACCTACAAAGAATACCTATGACACGGTACAAGCTGTGGCTCCACTGATTCAAAGTGAAAATGGGAAGTGTCGTCGCCGTTCCTCTAGTTTCCGGGTGAGTCGGGTGCACTCAAACGAGTTTACATTCACACACTAGTATCTATAGGCCCCACGCACGCGCGGCTTGACGCCAGTTTCGGATCACGTAGTGGTGACTGCCAGTGGAAAAGAAAATTTCATTACTCACACACTAGTTTCTGCAGTTTTCCAACTCTGTAAAAGTGGTTTTCCTGTGTCCTCAGGGATAAGTATAAAAAGGTAAGCGACACAAGTATCTGCATTTCCAGTAAAACTTGGGTAAAGCGTCTTTTGGTGAATCGGTGCCTGCTGCTGACACTTAACAATATGAAGCTGATTGTTTTTTGCCTTTTCACAATCTACTGTTGCTCTTTGGTCAAAGCATCATATCCAATGGAGCGCAAAAAACTACAAGAAGTCCTTAGAGAGCTGAAAATGCTCAAACACGACATTCCGGTTAGTTCATCTACATCGACTTTTTAACTGCTTTAACTGCATTTCACAACTTGCTTTCTAGCAAACTAACTTTCATTACCTAATGCAATCTTTTTTGACTTCCTTTTGCAGAACACAGAACTCATGATGAATACTCCACCAAAGGATATTGAGGTAAGCAAAACTACTTTAATCTAAAATAATGCAGACCGTATGGTCACCACTACGATAAATATTGGTGGTTGCTTACTCATTGTTGTTATGCTCCCACTTACTGTAGTTAGTTTGTCAGGCGCCGGGTACTGTAGGAGTACATCAAATGATGTGTGAAATACCAAAATGTGCAGGGTGATAAGCAGCTGTAAAACTCGAAACTTAAAGGCTAAAGGTCCAGATTTAAATTTCGCATCTACTCTTTGATCACAATACTTAAAAATAAATGATTGTCATATTAAGTAGCAGAGGAACTGTCATAAAACGTTTACAAAGTAAAATGTAAGCATTTAAAATTTAATTTAGCAAAAATAAAATCCACATAATTAAGTGTTAGACAGGATTAAAACTACATTATACATTTCTTAGTTTAATTAGAAACAAAAATACGACTATTATACAGAATATTTATTAAAACCTTGCACTATGAAACCATGCATTTTTGTTTTTCTGAGTTGATTTGACTAAGGTGAAATCCTCAAAAGGCCATATATATTTCAATATTTATAAATAGAAATGACAATATTTACTTTAAAGGCTCTATAGCACATCTTAGCAATGAAACCTAAAAACATTTTGTAAAGTTTTGCAATGCTCTTGTGGTCAAATCCTACATAGTCTCATTATGTACCCTTTATATAACTAGACTTGTAAATGTTTATTAAGATGTACTGCATTACTAGTAAATTCTAATCAGCCTTCTTTCTTGTCAGGCTTATTCATTTTCATTCAGTGAGTCAACTCAAGAGTGTGCTCAGTGGATTTTTTTCATTTTCTCACAGCTTCCTTTGAGTGAAATGTGATGAGTAATCAAGCAGAGAGCAGACAAAACCATTACACTTCCTCACGCCACCTCTCAAACTGAGCATTTGACAGAATGCTAGAAAACTTTTGAGTCAATATTCTGTTTAACATCTTGCAAATTACAGTTTATCTCACACCGCGAATGATGAGGATTGCCAAGCATCTCATCTTGCTTTGCAAAACAAAGATTATGGTTTCAAAATGAGATCACAACACTAAACCGTAGCAATAATGATAAGATTTAACAATAACTGTAGCAGAATTTCTGATTTTTAAATGCAGCAAAACAAATTACGGCTAATTCGCTAGGCAGATATAAAATACTCAAAAAAACTTTGACCCAAGCTGGCTGAGTTCACGGGTGTCACACCACACTGGAAAATGAGTATCTAAACAGAAACAAGTGTTTCACATGGGAAAAATTGCATTGTACCATCAGCATTTTCATCCAGATTTTTGGAGGGAAACAATTCATACAAAAAAAAAAAAAAAAAAACCCTCTTTCACTTAACAGAAAGTTATCATTGAAATAGTGGAAACTCTGTTTGGTTCAGTTTCATTTTATATAAAAATGTTTTTGTGTGCATCAGATTGGAAAGTCAACTACAATGAAGTCATGAAATGAAACTACAAACAATAGCTTTCTTGGAACAATATTTTTCCTTACATTGAAACAAAGAAAACTCATTTTCATAGCCAACTGTAAATGAAGTAGAACTGTGCATGCATCAAGCTGTTGTGTTCCCTTTGTATGGTGCTCCGTGTGATATATCTCATTTAAAAAAGCAAATGTATTTAAAAAGACCAACCGGAACCCTGACATATATATATGTGTGTGTGTAAGCTGGGATAATCATGATGTCATATTCACCATCATTTCTTTTTCTTTTCGTAACAGGACTGCTGTTGTCTGACAGCCTTAACTTGCTTTCGGGAGACTCTGCTTCAACATTTTGGCATAAGTGGAAAATATCAGAAAAAACTTTACAAGAGTCTTAATCATACCCTTACTGTAAGTACATTGTTTGGGGTGGGACTCACATAATAATATACCTTAAGTCCTATTCTAAAGACTAATGTCAACATTTTAGTACACTGCATTTCTAAAACGGGCATATTTCTTTCAATCATTGCAGATCAGTGGACTGAACTTTTGTAACACAGAAACTTCTACGGTAAGTAAAAATTAGTCAGCATTGCTTTTTTTTCTTGATTGTGACTATTGTTTTTTCGGTCTGTACACAGACTCTTGTAGTAAACGACCATTTAAGTAAACTCCTTTCTTCTTTGTTTCTTTTTAGACCAACTGCTCAACCTGCCACTCACATCCTAAGGAAAAAGCATCAGAGTTTTTCAACAGACTGGAGTCTCTGGTTCAAAGGGTAAGGCTATTTCAGATATATTTCAGAAAGCTATACATAAAATACTAGACCATTTTGTTTTTACAGTAAGCTTAAAATAAAAAGGCTATGCTCTTTAATATGATCATAAATGTATTGATGCTTGTACAGCAAATTAAGTATTTATTTTCATCCACTTTTAGGGTCTAAGCAGAATCAACTGAGATGAGCTGAAGATCCATTAGCAACTTTAGAGAAGACACTACTTTGTAAAGGGCCAAGCACGTCGAAGATTGCGTCTTACAGCCTGATAAATATTTAACTTATTTATTATTTATTTATATTGAAGTGGTTAACTCACTCAAGCTATCAGGAAAGCTGCTCTGCTGCCACCTTGTGGACTTCGTACCCTCAGTCAGTGAGAGGGAAAATTAATTTATTCATTCATTTTGTAGTTCTCAAAGAATAGTTTAATAATGACATTTATACTGTGTATGAATTTCCTTAGTACATAAATTATTTTGTAAAACAACTGTACCATCTGAAAATATCAAATTAATTACCATATATTATTTGATGTGCCTAGTTTATATGAAGGACAGATTCTCTGCTTGTAGCAGGAACTGAAAGACAAGTGTTCTATTTTTTTTAATTTATTTATTTTTTTAGCAAATGGGCATTTTTTTCATTCTGGCAGTAGTCCATTGTATAGTTAACAAGTCGTAACTTTCTCTTGTCAACTTCATATAAAAGGCAGGTTGATATTAACAAAGACAGTGTCTAACTGTGCTATCAAACTGTATTTATGATATAGTTTATATGTTTAGATATTTATTGTTTAAATGTTTGATATCAATTACAAGTTTTTAGAATTACTTTTTTATATGTGCTGGACTAACTGAGAAAAATAAATATAATTGAAATTCACAGAAGGTGAAGAGAAATTGTGTTGATGTTATCCATGTTTTTTGTGCTCGTATGACGGGATGTGAATGGGTTAACGAGGCATGTTGCTCAAAGTGCTTTGAGTGCTCGAGTAGAGTAGAAAATCACAAATAAAAGAACCAGTCCGTTTACTATGTTTTGACCTGACATGGTTCTGGAGGCACTTCCTGAAATGTAAAGATACATTTTCCAGGAGCTTAAGTTTAATCCAAGCGTTGCATTTGCATTCAGAAGCTGTAAAACAACAACATGTGATCAAACAAGCTTTGACACACTTGCAGCTATATCCAAAAAGACAGCTGGAACACTAGGAGTAGCTAAATCAATATATCTCTGAAGAAGAGAGAATTGGTAAAATGAATAGGTTGTCCTGGGTGTTCATGGAAGACAACAGTGATGGATGATCACAAAATCTTTCCATGATAAAGAACGACACCTTCTGGACAAGACTGTGTACAAGAGAGCAGAGGCTTGCACAGGCTTCTTCAAGGTTCAAACCATACTAGTTTCATAAAACTCTGAGCAATACTCTAGGAGTGGAAGCAAATCTTGTGAAAATGAAAAAGTGCCCATGACAACACAAGAACCATGGCTCTGAGACCCATTAGGTGACCACTGAGCACCTTTGGCCAGACAAGCTGAACAGAAAAAGCTAAAAATAAAAGGTTTGTAGACATGAAACTAAGATCAGCAGGAAGATAAAAGAGTAGTGCTCATGATCCAAATTACATTACGTAACCTGTAAAGCACAATGAAGGCAATGCCATGTGTAGGCATGCATAGCTTCTAGTGGCACAGTGTGACTAATGTTTTCTAAGGAGCTTGGAAAGAAAAGCATCTGGACTTCTTTAAGTTGCTTGAAGACGTTTCACCTCTCATCCGAGAAGCTTCTTCAGTTCTAAGGTCACATGGTGGAGAGTCCCAGATTTAAACCCAGTGGGAGTTTCCCCCCAAAAGAGGGACAAAAGGACCCCCTGATGATCCTGTACCTAATCACATGAGCCAAGGTGTGAAAACAGGTGTGGGTCACAATCAGCCAGGGTTTCGGTTGAGCTCATTGTGAAACCGGGCCTCACCCTATCATGTGATTTCCTTGAGGTCAAATGGCAGAGGTGTGAGTGGGCGTTAAGGTGTCTGGGAAGGGATCTCAAAACTGGGTTATAGATGTGACTAATGTTTGCTGAAGATACAGTTATGGCCATATCTATTTGGACACTGACATAAGTTTAGTTATTTTTACCTGTTTACTGAAACATATTCCAATTATAGTTACATAATGGACATGGACATACTCTGTAGACTCAGCTTTTGTTTCAGGGTATCCACATTCAAATTGGATGAAGGGTTTAGGAGTTCCAGATCCTTAATATGTAGCCATCCCCTTTTTAAAATGTCCAAAAATAAATGTAGAGTTGACGCAAAGGCAATTTCATGGGCAGGTGGGGGCAATTTTTTCGTTATGTCATTATTAATTAAGCAGATATAAAGCCTGGAGTTGATTTGAGGCGTATTTGGAAGATTTTGCTGTAAACAGACAACATGTGGTCAAAGGAGCTCTCTGTGCAGGTGAAACAAGTCATCCTTAAGCTGTGAAAAAAGACAAAAAGCTATCTGAGAAATTGCTACAATACTGGGAGTGGCAAAATCTACTGTTTGGTAAATTCTGAGAAAGAAAGAAAGCATCGGTGAACGCACCAACGGAAAAAGACCTGAAAGTCTATGGAAGACAACAGTGGTGGATGATCACAGAATAATTTCCATGGTGAGGAGAAACCCCTTCACAATAGCCAACCAAGCAAACAACCCTCTCCAGGAGGTATGAGTATCGATATCCTTATAAAGAGAAGGCTACATGAATGTAAATACAGAGGGTTCACTTCAAGGTGCAAGCCACTCATAAGCCTCAAGAATAGAAAGGCTAGAGTGAAGCTTGCTTAAAAAGAAAAAGAAGAAGAGAGCATTAAAAAACAAAAAATAAAAACAAAACAGCATCTGGTGATGCCCATGAGTTCATTACTTCAGGCTGTCATTGAGTGAGCAAAGTGTTTTCAACCAAGTGTTAGAAATGAACATTTTATTTTCAGTTATCTAATTTTTCCAATTTTCTTGAACCTCTGAAATAAAGGGGCAATCTCTTTGTTGTTGTGTAACTGTAAATGTATATGTAAAAGTATGTTACATGTGAAGTCATCAAAGTGTGATAAGTAAACCAGGCAAGATGGTGGACCTAAACCAATGACCCTCTTGCCGTAAGGCAACAGTGCTAACCACTGTAACCAGTAACCGTAAAACTATAGTAAAAAATAACCAGATATTACTATAATCAAAAATACCAGCACTGATTCTAAGTAATAATTGTCTAATGGCATTTGTAATCAAATATTGCTTGGATGGAGAATCAGTCGTTCCCATTAAAACTTTAATGTTAAGTTATGAAATGAAACAGCCTTTAACCATTAATAGGTCGCTGAAATAGCAGTTCTGACTAGGATATACAAAAACACAGGTGTCGAAGTCCAGGCTTCGAGGGCTGGTGTTCTGCAGGCTTTAGATGTGCTTTGATCCAACACAGCTGATTTAAAGGGCCGAATTGCCTCCTCAACATGTCTTGAAGTTGTCCAGAAGCCTGTTAATGAACTAATCATTTGATTCAGGTGTGTTGACCCAGGATGAGATCTAAAATCTGCAGGACACCAGACATTGAGGCCTGGAGTTCGACACCCCTGTACTAATGGTAGGGTAGGATTGTAATTCTTGAGGAGCAAAGATGAAGAACCTACCCACCACCAGAGGGCAGTATATTGGCAAGTGTTAAATATATATTAAAGTGTATTAAGACTTTCAAAAAGACTTGAACACATAAAAATCCAGTGTTTGCTGTTCAAACCTAATGAAATCTTTTAGAGAATATCATAAATGTACAGATTTATGCTCATATAGTGTTTAACATAACATCAAACTTACGCAGCTTTAAAAAGGGTGAATTTTTACAAGTAAAATCCAAGTAATACATGCGAGTAACCTTGTTCTTTCTGAATTTTTCACCAATGTTTTTGAATGTTATGAACAGGTGGATTTACAGAGTTTGCAAATGTGGTAAAACCATGTGTGAAAACATATATGAGAAGAATACCACAGACTTCAAAGATCATGCAGCAACCTGGCAGGCCACTAAAAACTCTCACAATGACATAAGTGAACATGTTTTTTTTTAAAACAGGTGTCCCCGCTACAAACATGGACTTCCCAGATGATAAAGGGGGATTTCAGCAAAACAAACTCACTCACTCATCTGTTTTAACCAAGATGAACTTCACACCTGTGAAAAAAAGTCCTGCAGACCCTGTGGGTTCAACCACTAGAAAAAGCTTTGGTCAAGCACAAAAACAAAAACAAGAAAAACAAAAAACAGAACCACTCAAGATGATGAGTCATAACTACTGAATTGCGCTTTATTCTTATTCATTCAATATGATCAGCATACTTTAAAATATACTGATAATAAATGCTTTCTTGGATAAAAAAATTGGGGTTTTCTGAACCGTAAACAAAGCTTACGACAGGTGCCAACATCGCCTATAAGTGTCTTTCCAGGCAAAGAAGAAAAATATGTTTTGTGTAAAAGGTCAGATCAGCAACTCCCACAAATGGAATCAATTTTATGTTTCAAAGATGGTGAAATTTCCCTTTCTGGGTACAACACCAATTGTGATACTCTAGATGAGTGACAAATGAAGGGATTTTTCCTTTCATAAAAAACAAACAGTGCCACACCAGACCCGGTAAGGAGACTGACCACCAAGAGAAAAGATCTAGTGTTCACAGTCATATTGGGATCATAAGAGCTGTACTACAAAGCATGATCAAGTTATCCAGGTGTGGTGACCATAAAGGCAGACTTTTTAAGTGTTACACGATTTGTTCTCTTTTAATCTTTTAACATGGTGCACACCCCATGTGCTTCTGGGGAGATTATATCTGTCACATTTACTGTAATTATTTCGCTATGCTATTAGCAATACAGAGTGCAAAGTCTGAGAAGGTTTATAAAGTACTGATGCAGTATTGATATTGTTTTCCCAACACTGAAGACTAATGTAGCAAGTATCCATGATCACAGCTAACAGTATACCTACTATGTATGTATTTAGAACATTCATATTAAAATGAGGCTTACTCACTTAATCCACGATTCCAGTCAAAACCTCCGCTGACATATACATGCAAATTGGGCAAGTAGGAAAGTAGTTAAATATTAACTGCTACAACCCACACTGAAACATGGAGTTTTCAGTGTGCTCAGTCATAGGGGAAGTATTTGGAAAAAAGAATCAAATCAACAAAAAACTACTAAAATAATTATCTCTTGTCTCCTGTGGGGAAGGAGGAAAGGATTTAAGGAAGGAACAAACTGACTTATATACTATACTATATACTATACTATAAGTCTACTTGTGCAGTAAGTCTCCCTCACTAACAAGAGGGGAGCATGATGGGAAAATGGAGCGAGTACTTTGAGGAGGTGATGAATGAAGAAATGAGAGAGAGTAAACAGATGGAGGACAGTTAGTGAACTATGACGATGATGAAGATTGGAAAGATGGTCGTTCGAGCTGACATACCTGTAGAAATATGGAGATGTCTAGGTGAGAGGGCAGTGGCCTTTTGAACAAGATGGCTTAACAGAATCTGGTAGAGTGAGAAGATGCCTGAGAAATAAAGAAGAAATTTACTGGTATCGACTTTCAAGAACAAGGGTGATATGCTATACCTGTTGCACTGTTCCTTTGTTGTTTTAGACAAAGTAAAT